AAGTTCTAATTCATTTTAAAGTGCTTTCACTGTTATTAAAATGAATGACCAGTGTTTACTATATGACCTTACCGCAGCTTTCGCTTGTTGGTTCGTATCTTAATTAATTTCCCACTTTCGTGGCAAAACTACTTTTAAATAAGTTCTCGCTTTCGCGACGAAGTTTATTCAGTAAATCAATTTTAAACACTCAGACCATAAGTTACTTTTGAAAAGAAAGTTTTTCAACCAGTTGTTATCAAATCCCATTCGAATTATTACTACATATCGATTACCTAAGTTTAACTAGACATGGATTTGGGAAAGATAAAATATAAATAAAAACAATAAATAATGATTTGCATTATAATAAAACTGGAATCGATTGAAATGAGAAACCTGTAAATATTCCAATTGACCTTTGGGCAGATCCTCCACAGATGTTGGCAGGATTCTGATCTCTAATGCCAATTTGATCATACAATGAAAGTAGAAATTACAGAAGAATGAAAAATGGAATACAGGAAAGGTAAATAGAAACAAATAAGAATATTGCTGGAAAATATGCTCTGGAAATAAATTTGGCAGCACTTCGTTGTATGAATGCAGCATCTTTTCTGAAGTCCCCTGCTTCCCCTTTTATAGAAGTGGAATCCCAACGGTTATCATTGAAGATGATGGACTTTGAGGCAGATAATTTAGGGAGTAGTGGTCCACTCTGTGGGAATTGGAACTGCTTCTGTTACGTGAAATTGAAGTGGGGCGTTTTTGCCTGCATGACGGTCGTCACAAGGTGTGACGGTCGTCACCCGTGTGACGGTCGTCATGAAGCTGTGACGGTCGTCACATCAGCAAAAACAGCTTCCTGCGCTTTTCATTGTGTTTTCACTCCTTTTTTCGTCCATATTTCATCTGAGATTGCTTCTTTTCTTCATGTTGTCTTGTTTAGACGTGATCGTTGAATACCTGCAAAACATCAGACAAATAACACAGAAATAATCCGAAATCGGATCGAAAACAGTTAGACTTTAGTTGAATTATGCATCAAAATATATATACGATTTCGTGTTATCAACCACACCCAAGACTTGTTACCGGTATATCATCATATTGTGACGCTTACGAAAGAGGCCATAAAGAGAGGAGATTTTGAGGAAGACAGTTCTGCTATGATTGTCGTACGAGCCATCTTAGCGAAGACACGAAATGCCTTGGAGTACAGGCGACAAAGGAAATACACAGGGGTTTAATATACATAATAGTTTATTTTTATTTGTATTTTGGTAACAATTGTATTTTTATTTGTATTTTTTGAACAAATTATATATAGTGGTAATGTTTGAATTTGTATTATTGTTTGAATTTATATATAATATGACAAGTAACATGGTGTTATTATTGTAAATTATTAACAATTATTAATCTTGAGTGTGTTCCAAAATGACAAGAAAATATTCATGTAGAGATTAATTTTTGAATTCAGAAATAACAACACATGTGAAGTATTGCAATATATTTGAATTCAGAAATAGGAAACACTTGTGAAGTGTTACAGTAGGTTTGAATTTGAAAATAGGCAACACTTGTTACAGATGCAAAATAGTGCAACCTTTGAAAACTGTTGTTGTAGACAAAACAATGCAACGTTTGAAAAGTTTTGTTGTAGGCGAAACAGTGCAATGTTTGAAAAGTGTTGTTGTAAGTGTGTTTTATCAATGGTCGCAACCTTATGAAACATCGTCAGTTTGACCTATAAATTGAATATTTCGGATTGACAAAAATATATTAGAAAAGTTTATCTTCTTTACACAAAATTTCAGATTTCATATTTCCTACATTTGAGTTTTCATCGGTTTTGTGCAAACTCTAGTATAGACTAAATTATCCTGAGTATTCCTGCATGCAAACTCTAAGACGATTTGAGAGTGCTTGAAATATTATAAAAAAAATAATATGTTCACAAATCTAGTCTCGATCCATTCAGATACAATTTAGATTAAATATAATCGATTTTTTTGCATATTTGTTTGACCTATAATTTGACCATTTCTGATTCAGAAAAATAAATTAGAAAAATCTATCTTCTTCACACAAAATTTCGAGTTTCATCTTCCCTACATTCAAGTTTTCATCAGTCTTGTGCAAATTCGAGCATAAGCTAAATTATCTTAAGTATTAGTGCATACAAACTCTAAAACGATTTGAAAGTGCTTGAAATACTATAAAAAAAGTGACTCATTTACGATTTCAATCTTGATTTATTTGGTTTAAATTAATTTTCTAACCGTTATTGATATTATGCATCATATTATTGGTTGAATTTGTATTAGCATGGTGTTAAAATACCAATTTGATCTAAAAAATATCTTTAGTGTAAAAGTTTTAAAAATGTATATAAGGAAATACCTCGGGATTATTCTAGAGATGTATATATAAAAAAGTTTCAGAAAAATTATAAAGATGAATGTCTTAGTCCAATTTTTGATAAATTTATAGTGAGTGGTTCACTTGTGAAACAACAAAATGTTTTTAGTGATAAAACCAAAGATATATTTCGGTAAATATTCTACATATGTAATTTCAGATCAATTTTTAACAAATAGCGTTGTGTGCATCTTAAAAATAATATTGAAGTTTCAATTTGTCGGGGTGGATAATGTAATGCCAATCAAATCTAACTGCTTGAAATTTCCGGCCCCAACAAAATTTGTAAGACAGTTTCTTTTTAAAATTTGTAAGACAGTTTCTTTTTCCGAATAATTTGAAGAGTGTTGCATGCATTGCAAGTATATAGATGTCACGTGCATTATGCCTTAGTTAGACCAACTCCAATGGGAGTTCTTAGAGTGAGTTTGCCAACATGACACTCATATTTGTTGTTTCCAAAATTGCCATGTTGTTGAACGGTGCTTAATTAAGCAACGGTTCTTCAATTGTTCTTATATTAAAATATTAATTTTATAATATAAAAATTATAATTTAATATAAAATTTTATTTATCATTTTAATTATCATATGAAAATTATAATTACAATATTAAAATATTGATTTTATAATATAAAAACTATATTTTAATTATATGTTTAAATTATAAGTTTAATTTGAATTTTATTTATTTTATTTTTATTTATTTTAATTTTTAATTTTAATTTTATTTTTATTTTATATCAAATTTAATTTAAAACACTAAAATTAACTAAGGAGAGATTGAAATATTTTTTAAAATTAAATCTAATTTTTTTTAAGTTTATATAGTAGAATGAAATATTTTTTCTTAAAACAACACTATATACCGGTTGGACTATATAGTAGATTGAAATAATTTTCTGTAAAAAAATTAAAATTATTATTTTAAGTGATATAAAATTTAATATGAATAAAATATTAACATATAAAGTAAACTTGTGGGACCCAATATGAGTTCTTAAGAATAACATCATTGGAGTGAAAAATTAGTTGAGTTGCTTCAAGCTGACGTGGCTTAATAGGTCCCACAAAGAACCCAAAAATGAGTTCACGGATGAAAATGCTCTTAGGAGTACTTGACTGTATGGTAGTAATAGTATAATTAAAAGACGACATGCCATTTGATATTTGACAAATCTTTCTTCAAGACTGGTTGGTTGGTTCAGCTACAATGGCCGGTTTCTTTATTGTCCACTGCTCCTTGTTTTCATAGACGGTTTTTCGTTATTTATTAAATATTAAAAATTCAATTCAATTTTTTTTAATAATATTACTAAAATACAAAAAAAAATAGACAGTTTTTTGGGCCAATTTTAGGGAGTACTTGTGGGTAATAACAAATGACAGAGTGGCACAACCCACACACTTTACCATTTTGTTTCGTTCTCATTCTCTTCTTCTTCTCTACTTTTTATTTGAATTTTGTACAGCGAAACAACGAAGCTTCGCAATTCGCCAACTCCATAATCATCGATTCGATTTCTCTTCTGCAAGTAACTTTTCTCTCCTCTAAATTTCACTTCTTTTCTTTTTCAATTTTATTTAATTGCATTCCAACCAACTTGTTCATTCTTTTTTTTTTTTCCTTCAATTTGGGAATATAAATTTACCTTCAATTTAGGAATATAAATTCACTGTTTTGCTTAGATTTTTTTGTTACTATTCTTTACCGGCATGCTTGATTACTTCACCTGACAAAGCACACGCGCTCTCCTTTTTCTTTGATTTAGAAATTATCCAAATTAGGGTCCTTTAGATAAACAATTTCAATTAACCAATTATTATTATTATTGGACTAGTGTTTATTATAGGATCATTTATGCATAATTATTTCTATTATTAAAGAAATTTTAAGTCAAATTGTATTTTATATAAACGGTGAGCTATTTTCACAACTTATTTGGGAGAGTATGGAAATAACTGAAAGCAGCTTATAGATTTGTCATTGGCCTGATGGTGATGGTTTTCAAGGTCTCTGGCTTGAATCCCGCTAGATGGTAACAATTCCTGTGTTGGTCCAAGTCCATATAGAGCTTTGGTCTGACTTTAAATGGGACCCCACAAGTGGATGGTGGGGTTGGTCCCCTCGGATTAGTCGGTCGCAAGGCCGGATAGCAAGCTTTCAATAAAAAGAAAAAAAAATACTTGTCATAACCTGTGTGTATTAGATCTCGAAAATAGTCATAGATGTGCTAGAATATAAGCTCAAATAAGCAAATCCAAGCAGGTTCATAAGCTATTTCTCACAAAATCTTCCCAAAAATTGCACAGATGCTTATCTCTTAAAGCATAAATAAACGGTAAACAAGTTCTTTCAAAGGTTTCTCGCGTTATCATTGTTATTAATTTCTAATTCTGTCTAGAAATTGAGGTTAGCTCATCTCTTAGCATTTAATTTGATTAGAAGGTCTTAGGCGTACTGTGATAGTTTCTGTTTCTATTTACTACTGATATGGAAATGCCTATTTCTGCAGAAGACATATAAAGAGGGAATTGAACTCCGTTTTAAATTCTGGTTTAGGGATTAAATCACAGTTATTTACAGGTAAAGGAGGATGGCGTGTAGGGGATTCTGGGAGTGTCTTTTGAAGCTTTTCAACTTCGTTCTGAGCCTGACTGGTTTGGCTATGGTGGCTTATGGGATCTATTTGGTGGTTCAATTCAGTAAAGCTTCTGATGATGATACGCCTGCGATTTCTCCTGTAAGTGATGATAGTGCTCTGATTCAACTTGGACGCCCGATGCTTATGGCTGTGTCTCTATCCAATAATATTTTTGACAAGTTACCTAAGGCTTGGTATGGTTATCGCTCTTTTTCTTCCATTAAGTTATGTGTATCGTTGATTAGTTGTGTGCCTCATAACAGGTTTTGTTTTTTGTTATATTTTTCTGCTTAGTTTGTTATGTGTTGTCTTGTTTGGATCTAGGTTATATGGATATTGACAAATTCTTCAATGAATGAATAAGATAAAATCCATAGTTATTAAGTTAAGAAATAATACTAACTCGCTTTGGAAAAGTGATGGCTAAAATGCAATGGGACCTTTATACGAGACACTTAGGAATCAACCTCTCTCATCAATTAGCTTCTGAGGCATGGCCTCTATATGCAAGTGTTTGATGCCATACTGTTATGCTTGATTTTGGTCATGTTCAGTGAGCGATAAAAAGTGTAAATTTTGAAATGGCCAGCCAATAGATTGTAGATTTGTGGTAAAGTAATAACTGAGCTTCATGATTGTAAAATTGAAGGCTATGATTACTTCATTATTTGGTGTTATTGGTGCAATAATCATCATTGTTGCTTTTTGATTAAGAAAAGAAATTACTAAGCTACTAATTTTCCCACTCAAAATATCAGGATGGATTGTCTTTCTTTCATTCTGACGTGATTCTTGATGCATATGCATTTTGTTAAGTTATGATGAAGTTGATAAAAACATCCAGCATCGTCTCAACCTAATTGCAAGTTTCATGTTTGGCAGGTTTATTTACTTATTTATTGGTGTCGGAGTTGTTCTCTTTGTTGTATCTTGTTTTGGTTGTATTGGAGCTATGACAGGGAACGGGTGCTGCCTGATTTGTGTATCCTTATTAATGCCTTATGTTACATCCAATTTTTTCATGGTCACGAAAGTTTTCATTAATATACAAAACATGGGTGAAGTCTCTACTCTCCCTTTGTATGGGATGTTTTTGTGTGCATATATACATGCATTAACCTTAAAGGAATTGTTATAAGTTTCCTTAAGTGATCATAGTATTCAATTTTGGTGGCACTGTTGATCTTGGTAGAACTGGGATGTGCAGCCTTTCTATTTTTTGACAAAAGCTGGAAAGAAGTAAGTGAAATTCTTCATGGTAATTTATCATCTGAAATTGAAGCAGGTATGTGTCTCATCTTACAGTTTTTCCTTCTTCCAGGTAATCCCAACAGATAAGAGTGGAGATTTTGATATGATATATGGCTTTCTGAGAGAGAATTGGAGTATTGTGAGATGGGTTGCTCTTGGGATTGTCATCTTTGAGGTAAACCAAAACTTGTTTGATTGGGCATTTAAAAGAAATCAATACTGCTTAGTTGCTTCGTAGACACACATGTGTCTTTGTCCCTTTGTGTGCTAATGACAGGTATACCATGTTGACAAGAAATATAGAAGTTCAAAATACTACAAAAATATCATCCCATGAAGATTGGTTGATAAGTACTAGTTTTACCAAACCTATATGTTATTTAGAAAAATAAATAGGTTGTTGAAGGTTATTAAAAATGAACTAAAAATAAGAAAGCAAATGCTAACATGTCACTTGTTAGTGTACTAAAAAACAAATTTGTATTGGAAATTATGCATTCAATTTCTAGTAAAATTAAAATTTGTTTTTTTTTCAAGACATAGTTTCTATTTGTGAATTCCTTGAAATGAAGGATTCGGTTTGGTCCTACACAGCCCTTTAGTTCGGTTTTCCTTATAATTCAATTATTTGGGTATGGTCCAATTTACAGTCAAATAATTAACTATAAAAAAATGACCTATTCTTACAGAAATAAGCACAATTAGACAAACTGGATTGAATAATTATATTGAAATCAAGATAATACCTAAGGTCAAACCATAGGATCCACTATAGTGCTTGCTATGAGTAAAATTGCACATAAAAGAGACAACCAAACCAAGAACTGAAACCAAAAGAAAAACCATGATACAATAGAAAACAAAACTAAGAATTGAAAGGAATGATATTTAGATGCAGTAAAGGAACTCTTTCTCTCACTTGTTGTAAATGCCATGGAAATCATCTTGGAGTGAGAGAGTGAAGCCCAGAGATTGCAGGGAAGTCTGGAAGATGTTATGAAGGAGGCATTTATAATTGAAAAATTGAGTATATTTCCAAAAATAATGCAGCAAAAGTAGCATGGACATTCCAAATGCAGTATGGTTATGCTGAATACTAACATGAATGTGGCGAAAAATACTACAAAATGTGTTTCAGGGTACAAGCATGTCCCAAAGGCACGCTCGTATTGGATCTTGAATTCTCACTATATCATGTTCACATCCTCCTTAATCATATCGAATCCCCTGAGACTGAAAATAAGTCTTTCTTGCTTTGGAACTCCCAAGAAGTTATTCCTTTTATCCAAGTCTTTGCTACAAAGCCTAAGTTCATCAATTGTAGAGAGAAATGCAAACAAGAGAAGTAGGGGAGAGAGACAACGAGACTATGTTACGGTTAAGGAACCAAAGAGACTATGAGACTTTGTATGTTACAAAGGGAGTGAGAGAGACAAAGAGACTATGTATGTTACGATTAAGGAACCAAAAACGCCTTTTCAAAGAATAACGGAAGCCACACTAACACCACACTAATTTTAAAATTAAGTTATTGTCACGACTACTTGACTCACATACATTGCTATGTTGAATCTGCAAATTGGATAATTAGATTGAGGTGAAGCAGGTTCTAATTTTTATGGGTGAATAATTTCATTTTGATTAAAAGGGGGGAAGGTTCTGGTATGTGTAGTTTTAATTAGATTTTAATTTGCTTTCTTCAGATAATTTGTTTTTACATGATAATATTTACTATTTTAATTTTTTCTGTAGTATAAAATAAAGATTGTGTAAAATTATCAGCTTGAAAACAATGAGAATTTCAGTCCCTACCCTGGGTCTAGGCTTACGTTCGGCCCTAGTGGTCAACTTTTCATATTTATTGATGAGAAAGAGTCACGAGGATATACCCGCGGACCTAATTTTTCTCCCTCCCACCCTAATCACCCACCACCAAAAGTAGAGTGATATACTCGCGACGTAATGTAAAGAAGGCTTTAAACATGTATGCAATGTAACATGCCCATTTTTATGATTGTCAAACATTAAATCTAGTGATGCGCATCGAATTGCAGGCTCTTCTTTTCTTGTTAGCCCTTATTGTTAGGGCTGTAAATAAGCCAGCAGATTATGATAGTGATGATGAGCTCATTAATCCAAGGCAGCAAGCCCGGCAGCCATTGCTAAATAGACAAGCAGGTCCAGCAGCAGGGGTACCAGTTACTGGGGCAATTGACCAGCGCCCTAACAGAAATGATGCTTGGAGTTCACGCATGAGAGAGAAGGTGCAATCTTTAAATATTATATTTTCAGTTTACTTTATCTTATATTCTGTTCTGCAGATTTTCATATGTCTGTCTTAACAAGTTAGTCTTCCTGTTTTTAACATCTCTCATCATTATGTTATACATTACTATTGTTTTGTTAGTCACTTGGCTGATTATGGCATTTATGTGATTTAGTGTTTTTTACTGTCTGACACTAACACTGCTCCTTGTTTAGTATGGGCTTGATACTTCAGAGTTTACGTACAACCCATCCGAGTCGCAAAGGTTCCAGCAAGTAAACTCACAGCCAACTGAAGAAAAGAGCCGCTGCGCCATCATGTAATCGCATCATGGATGTAATATAAAGCCATGGCATATGGCATTGGCAGGTTGACTTCTAATTATTATTTTTGTGGTCAATGGTGTTGAGACTCAAAGTTTGAAAGAACAGGGTTGTTCTATGACATGGAATTATCATGTTCATTTTGGTGTTAATATTTTGCTGAGAGACATCATACTTTGTTGTGGCATTGTTTATGTTCATAGTTTAAGATAGTATCAAAGATGACGATATCATTTCCTTCGGTGCCTCTCCCTTGTTGTATTGGTTAGTTGAGTTTAAATTATTATCTTGGTCTTTGAAAGATTGTTTTAGTTTTTATCTGTGTTTTATGTTTCTTTTTATAAATGTAGAAAAGTTGTCGTGATTTTGAGTAAAAGCAAAAATATTGCCGTCAAACCAACAAGAGATTAAGATCATTGACTAAACTTGAGTCATAAAAAAAGATCATTCTTTTCATGAGTCTTATTGATATGCAATGGATACAATAATTAGTACTATAGCACCTCTTTGTTGTGGTTATGGTATGGAAATAAAGAAGAGTACAACAGTAAAATAATTTGCAGTAGTTAGCAGGAAAGCAATTGCAGAAGTTAGCAAAGAATATAGGTACAACTAGATATTATTTCAGTCATTTTTTTTGAGTCTTATTGATATGCAATGGATACAATAAATAGTACTATAGCACCTAGGATTCTAATAGTACCACTCCACTTGCATTTCTTACTCAATTCTATCCACTATAAACAGAATTGTATGACTCAACAATCTTCTAGAATTAGCTGACTCATTACTAGAGAATCTTTTCTTAAGAAGCACATTTTCAGGAATCATATAATCTTTGAGGTATTTGGGTCTCACTCTATTCTTTTTGGCTCTCACTTGAAGAATGGGCCTTTTCTCCTCATCACTTTCAAGCCCATTGTTCATGACATCTCCTTTCCCTTCAAAATACAACTTGTCCTCAAGGTGAAATTGTGGATAAGTACCTTTGATATTGGAGTACAGTTCCCAAGTGGCATCTTCAGAAAACAAACCATCCCATTGTATGAGTAGCTGCACATCCTCATTGTTTGGTGTTTGTTTCCAATCCAGCATAACCATAGGTTGTACCAAAGGTTTATTTTCAACTGCATTGAATGGTACTGCAAGACTCTGAGCCATGGGATCCAAGCATGGCTTCAATTGTGAAGCATGAAAAACAGGGTGTATTTTGCTTGTTGGTGGTAAGTCAAGTTGGAAAGCAACTTCTCCCATAGCTTTGAGAATACGATAAGGTCCATAAAACCTTTTAGAGAGTTTGTGAACCATCGAATGCGAAAATCAGATCACCCACTTTGAATTTATGCGACGTACGTTTCTTATCAGCATAAGTTTTCATGGTATTTTAAGCCTTTATAAGTTTGCGTTTCAGTATCCTGATAACATGTTTCCTGTCAGTGAGAGTGACGTCCAACGTTTGTAATGCTGTGGAACCTTCAATGTATGACGCAAGTGTAGGAGGAGGGCGTCCATAGAACCTGAAATAGAGAGAATCCTATTGTAGTGTGTACAAAAGTGTTGTAATGTCATTCTGCCCAATGTAAGAATTGACTCAATTGTTTCGGTTTATTATGAACAAAACAACGCAGGTACTGCTGAAGCACTTTGTTGACAATTTTTGTTTGCCCATCGCTCTGTGTGGTATACCGTCGACATATGCAATTAGGTGCCGCTTAATTTGAACAATTCTTGCAAGAATTTGTTCAAGAATATAGAGTCTCTATCGGAAACCATGCTACGGGGCATTCCATGCAACTTACAGATCATGGCAGCAATTCACAGTAGTAAAATAAATTGGAAGCATACCGAAATGTGATGCCTTTGATAAACGATCGACAACCACCAAGATGACCGTATAATTTTGATAAACGATCGACAATCACCAAGATGACCGTATAATTTTAGAAAGAAGGGAGTCCTATCACAAAATCAAGAGAGATATCTTTCCATACTTTGTCAGGCGCCGGTAGAGGTTACAACAAACCATATGGAAAGTGATTTGAAGGTTTCACTTGCTGACATATGGAACACGCGTTAACAAATGCAATAACATCTTTTCGCATTCCTTGCCAAAGCACATTTTCTTGTAGTCTGCCATATGTTTTGTGTATCCCGCTATGTCCCCCAAGCAAGGAAGCATGAAATTCTTTTAGTAGGACTGTCTTAAGAGGAGAATTACCAGGATTTTTTATCTTTCCCTTGAAGAATAACATATCGTTGAAAGTCTAAAATCTGGCATATTGAAGGGGGTCCTGCTGAACCTTGCGATATAAGGCTTGAAACTCTAGATCTTGGAGTAACTAAGACTTGAATTTCTATAGAAAATCCCAGTGGGGAGTTGTAATCATCAAACAGTGCATGCGAGATAAGGCGTCAACTACCTTATTTTGTGCCATGGGCTTATAAATGATTTCATAAGAATATCCAAGTAACTTAGCCAGGTAAAATTGTTGTTCAGGAGTTTGGATCACCTGATGAGTCATAAGTTCACGCAAACTCCGCTAATCCGTGTAAATAGTAAAGGTTCCCAGTAAATAGGTACACCATTTCTTGACAGCCGAAGTAATCACACGTAATTCTCGAACATAAGTGTATGCAACGAGCATTCGAGGACAAAAAATATTACTATAATAACAAAGAGGATGACCTTGTTGGATCAAAACAACGCCCATCCCTAGTCTGGAAGCATCTGTTTTTAGACTGAACCTTTCTTCGAAATTTAGTAAGTCTAATACAAAAGCCTTTTACTACGCCAAAAATGACTTTTGGCAGCACAACAAAGATAACGCTTCCTATAAAAACGCTACTAAAGATTAAAAAAAACAAAGGAAAAAAGCGCTGGCTTTAGAAAGCGCTTTCTTAAAAGCGCTGCTAAAGGTCGTTGTTTTGCAATATAATAGAAAGTGTTTTTAAGAAAGCGCTGTTAAAAGGGGAAATACGAAAGCGCTTTCTAAAAGCGCTGTTATATGAGGGATACAAAAGCGCTTTCCTAAAATGCTGCTATAGGTCCTGCCTAAGGCAGACTTTAAAAAGCGTTTTCCTAAAGCGCTGCTAAAGGTGAGAGTTATGAAAGCGCTTTTAAGGAGAAAGCGCTGCTATAGGGGGGGGGGGGGGTTACAAAAGCACTTTCAAAAGTGCTGCTATAGGTAATTAGTTTTTTAAAAATAAAACACTATTTTCATTTCAGACTATACAGAATATTCTTTCTCTCTCTCTCTCTCACGTATTCTTTCCCTCTCTCAAGACAAAATCCTACTCCCTCCGTCCGTCTCTCCGACCGCCATACTCTGTCCGTCGTACTCCCTCCGTCCGTCTATCCGACCGCCGTACTCCCTCCGTCTGCCCGACCTCCGTATCCCTCCGTCTGTCCGACCATTTCCACCATTTTCAAGATATTTATGCATTTTCTTCATTTTTATGGTTATGGTTTGTTGAGTTTTTTTGTTCTGGAAATAGTGAAGATAATGTAGATGTTGTTGATGTTAAATGTTATATGTTGATGTTGTTGATGTTAAATGTTATATGTTGATGTTAATGTTGATGTTAATATGTTAATGTTAATATTGATATATGTTGTTGTTAAATGTTGATGTTAATGTTGATTGTTGTTGATGTTAACGTTAATGTTAATGTTGAATATTGTGATGTTGTTGATGTTAATGAAAACATGAATTAATTTTGTATGTTAATTTTGTATATATTTTAATGTTGTTGTTGATGGAAAGTTGAATTAAGTAACGAGAATGTTGTTGTTGATGTTGTTAATGTTGATGTTGTTGATGAAAACATGAATTAATTTTGTATGTTAATTTTGTATATATGTTAATGTTGTTGTTCATGGAAACTTGAATTAATTGTTGAATATTGTTGATTGAATTAATTGTTGATGTTTGAATATTCGCGAATTAATTGTTGAATATTGTGATGTTGTTGATGTTAATGAAAACATGTATTACTTTTGTATATAGGTTAATGTTGTTGTTGTTGTTGTTGATGGAAACTTGAATTAAGTAACGAGAATGTTGTTGTTGATGTTGTTGATAAAAACATGAATTGATTTTGTATGTTAATTTTGTATATATGTTAATGTTGTTGTTGATGGAAACTTGAATTAATTGTTGAATATTGTTGATGTTGTTGATTGAATTAATTGTTGATGTTTGCATATTCGCGAATTAATTATTGAATATTGTGATGTTGTTGAATAATTATTTGAACTTAAGTGATGAAGTTGTTATATTAGGTACACCATCATCTACTAACTTAGTGAATTTATTATAGAGGTTACTTGTAAAGAGTAAGATTGTGATTGTTTCCAAGAATCTTACTGTGTAGTTCTAGAAGTTGCTGACTTCTCTACAGTTGCTATAGGTAATCACTGTTGTTGTTTAGCTTACTTAGTTTAGTTTAGCCTACTTAATTAGTATGGATAAAAAATGGATGTCTTCCAATCGATTGTCAAAAGAGTACGAGAATGGAGTATCAAAATTCGTTAAGTTTGTTATTGAACACGTCAAAGACCCCAGAAGGATCACATGTCCTTGCTTAGGTTGTTGTTATGGGCGTCAGATTGACGCAGTTCAATTGGAATCACATTTAAAGAGGCACATAATTGATTGAAGTTATACATGTTGGACATTACATGGTGAGATAAGTAACGAAAATGTTGAACTGGGGGATAATACGACCTATGCTTCAAATGACAATGACACATATACAAATATTCGTTTATATTATGTTAGAGCTATACAAATATTCCGATCACAAAGACAAGTAAGAGTACCAAACAATAAGGCTAACAACATTAGATGGATCAGAGTGCATGTATATTTTCACAATTTTGATTGTTATAGTGATGCTACTTGATAAAACTAGTTAAACTATATATATCATGATATATATTCGTATTCTTTTTCATGTGCAGTGTCCTCGTCAGCACAATGGTATTGATTGCGGTTATT